TAAGCCACAAGTGCCAATATTAACTCCCCAAATATGTATCTTTCTCCTCTATGCATCCGTTTTTCAACACAAACTCACCTTGTATCAATAACACCTCTTTTATGATATTGTTCAGAGGGTAGCTGAAATATGCCACTTTCAGGCCAACATAATCAAACAGATGGTTCACCCGGCCGTTGATGAGTTGAAAAAACTAAAAGGGTTCAAAATACTGGCATGAAATACCAGGTATGGTGTGACTGCTAGCAAATACCAAGGATACCTTAGGGTAATTCATGGAACGGTCTGCAGGATTTGACGATTCGCTCAAGAATGCTCAACACTCGTAAATCACATGTGGGGAAAATCGTAGAGCGGTGGATATGAATTATTTTTGCAGTTGAGAATTTTGCAAAGGTTACAGTAGGTATGTTAGGTCTAGAAAGAGTAGACTCAACAGGAATTCAAACAACCCTTTGTGTTTGCGTATGTGTTTGTGTGTGCACATTCTTGTCTGGATATTTGGAGATTCCTTCAATTTCCACTTATAGCACTCAGAGAGTGAAGCTCAGTTTATCGAGTGTTTGTATGTCAGAGTGAATGCACATATATGAGATTCACTGTGTATATGTGGTAACCAGCTTGTGATGGATAGAGAAGTTCAGTTTCCACCTGACCCTATACACTGGCTGGTCTGTATTCAGTGCCGGGGGCTCTCTGACAGGCTCATGCATCATCACAGAGCCGCCTCTGTTTGTTTGCTTCTGATGAGCCCTGTGCCCAATGTGTACAGAGCATCCCAACTTTTTCCACTGCCAGTGCTGTGCAAAATGACATTCCTCAAATGACGTCTGTTCAGAATGCTTCGTTTCATTTCAAAACTGCCGCATTGATCGCAATCATTTTTGAGCCAAGGTACACTTCTGGAGTCAAGCTGCCTTGAGTAGTCTAAATAAGTTGGAGCTAATAACTTTCATGGTTTGCTTAACAACATTTAGTTTTGATACCATAGGCTAAATAAGTGATGGAAATTAATATTTTCATCATTTTGAATTCTGTACATTTAACTTTTCCGGCCTCTTATTGCTACCTGTCCCATTTTTTGGAATGTGTAGCGCTCATGAAATCCAAAATGAGCCAATATTTGGCATGACATTTCAAAATGTCTCACTTTCAACAAGTTTATGAGATTTGTAAATTATTCCATTCCTTTTTTACTCACAATTTGTACAGTGTCCCAACTTTTTTGGAATCGGGTTTGTAGTTATTTGGGTTTATTGTTCACAATATAATTATTTTGTCTTGCTTCCTGAATGTGTGACGTGATAATGAATGTCCAACTCGGGGTACGAGCTTTCCACATGCATTTGAAGGCAGCCTGTCAGAAAGATCGTATTTACAAATTGATTTTGAAGAACCTTAAAATCATAATTATGAGTGGGAAATTAGTTGTTTTCCAAGTTGGGGGCATAACAGTAAGAAAAAATGTTGGAAGCAGTGAATGCAGCTTCTGTGGTTGAGGTTATTGGAAATGTGTGTGTTTGTTTGTTTGTTTGTTTGTGTGTGTGTGTGTGTGTGTGTGTCTTCATGTACAATAACACTAGGCTAAGTTACAAAATACGAAGTCTGTATAAATGATGCCTGAAAAAAAAACTAAACTAATTCAGATCTACTGTAAAGTATATTCTAATCTGAACCTTCACTCCCCACATTTCTCACAGACCATGTGAAAATGTTCTTTGCAAACAGAGACAGAACATTTCACATAAGATTTGCACCTTTCTAAGCATAACTTATGGGCAGAGTTTGGACCTCTTCCTTCGTTCAGGACCTTTAGCTTTCGTTTCCTGTGGCCTTTCTCTACTCATATGTTACATTGCTTACTGTCTGTGTAGGTTCTACATTAAAAAAACTTCATGAACTTACTGTCTGTGTAGGTTCTACATTAAAAAAACTTCATGAATGTGTATAGTAAGTGTCCATTGGATATGAACATCAGAATCTTGGCAGAAGTAATAGGACACCAAAAAATGGCATGATTGACCAGCTGTGTAATACCAGGAAAAATAATCTGTAGGTTTGAAAGCTTTCATGTGGTGAGATGTTTTTCAAGATATTTCCTGCATATTCATAACCACGTAATGTGTATCAGCTGTGTCTTCGCATGGAGTTTTCTGTCCCTTGTATTGCAGCATGTGGCCCCTTAAACTCATAAATAGGTCAGAAGTTCAAACAGGTGAAGGTGGTTTTCTCCACAGGTGTGTTTCAATGAGGTTCATTCAGACATTCACTTCTCATCACTCACGTGAGCCTGTTATTCATTCAGTTTGAGTTCCTTCACTCTGTCAAAATGGAGGTGTTGACAGCCGTTGGGAGAGCAGAACCACCCTCCTCACTCCTCCACTGCCCAAACTTTCAACAACACAACTGTCCTCTGTGAAAGACAAGATCTCCAGGTGTGCAGTAGATATGAGGTGTAATAGATGCATGGGTGAAGATGAGGTCCCTGCTTAAGGGAGGTTTAGAGGCGAGGCGAGGCTGAGGTAACTGTTGACGGCAGCTTGCAACCAATATTTTGGCTCTGTTCTTGGAAGCTTAAAATATGTTGTTATGACAGCGAGAAACTCAGACTGCATAACACTTTTCATCTTGCAGAAACCTGGATCAATTAATGTAATTATTAACAGAAAAATGTAAACAGTCCATAATAGAGCACTCAGTAATTTTTTGTTAATGTTGTGGCGGCCAGTATGTAATCATTTTGGATCGACACCTAACGACTTAATTATCTTGACTTGCAAACAGGTGTGAAGACCAATCAGAATGCCGCTATTCTTTGTAAAATTTATTTTAGATTAAAATATGAGGTTGTACACCATATCTTTTGATCCTATATGAATATTCAAAGTACAGAGCACTGATATATGAAAGTAAATACTTAAAATAACTGAGGAAAATCTGTACTATCTGCAGCCAGAGAACATAAAATAAGACCACTGCAATCTCTTCACTAAGATAATTACTATAAATCTAAGATATGTTCCAATGTAAATTTCCATCAACACGAGCCTTTGGGTGACCTCTTGAGCAAGCAGAAGCAGACAAATGTCCAGACAATGACGGCAGTATTTGTGTGTTCTTTTGGTTGTGGCCTTTCCTGAGAACATCTATTGGAGTGGGCTGCTCGATGGACTTTCCTGTTTCTATTCAATCTTTCTTGGTTGAACCTTGAAGGGAAATGAATGAGACTGGAGAACTTGGACTTCCTATCCTTCCTTAGGAACTGTAACCTGTGGAAGCATGTGACTAGGAGTTAGAGTCATAATAAGTGATGGCCATTATGGTGGAAGGTGAAAATATGTACAAATATGGGTTGTAAATGCTCTGACAAACATTCTCTGAACTCATGGGAACACACTTTTCAAGAAAATGTTTGAGGAGTTGTTTTTAAAAGTAATGCATTTGAATGATTTGGCCTACATATGTTTTAGTTCAGCTTAACTATACTTGTCATCAACTTTTATTTTCTTGTTGGAAATTTGCGGCGTGAAATCCTGACTTGTGTCTACATCTGACCAAGCCTATACACTTCCCTATTTTTGTCACTGTATTAGTCATCTGAATTAGTGAGACAATGGGCTTTATTGTGGAATCTAGATACTAAAATGGATTTAATTTAGTAATTTATATGTACCAATTTCATGAAACTCCTAAAGACTCTTAAATGAAGTCATGATCAACTATCTCACTACATAAAAAATACACTACATTAAGTTAGAAATTACAGCTGAATAGTTGAGAAACATCTTTTACTTTTGAATTCTTATGAAGTCCTGTGAAGCATTATATTGCGGTCTAAAAAAAGTGTCTCGTATGGAAACAGAATGGCTTCAATCCTGCATTATATCAAGCATAAAATTGATAATCATAAACGCTCAACTGGAAAAAAGAAACTCTGAATCAATATCTGAAGGTTGAGTAACTCTAAAGCAGGTGTGCTGTTTTCTATACATGTAACTATTTAATAGAAATAACATGGAAATCTAAACAGTCTGCATGTCACACAATATAGTTCAGTTGATTACAATGAATTTTTACAAATTGTAAGTTTTGCTGCTGTTTTGTTTAGAAACTCGAAAATGAAGGAGAGTGTTGCTTTGTAGGTGACACTGTGACTTTGCTTTAATTATTGTGAAAGGAAAGCAAAAGTGAGTTTTAATATTGACAATCAGCATTTTCCTGTCAAATTCATGGGAGTCCTACACTGAAGGCCAGAAAAATAAGTAATTAATTTGACTAATCAATTAACAAGTATTCCTACAATAGAGATGGTCTTAATTATAAGAGAGAGAAAGGGAGCGATCTTAACACTGCTGCTATTAAAAAAAATTAAAAAGTTTAATCGGTTAAATTTGGTTGCGACGTCGGGTGACCGTCGGGTGAAAATTCAATGTAAATTCAACGTCTAATGTCAATGTTAAATTAATGTCCAATACCAACATCAGCTGATGTTGATATTTTGTTGTTTTTAGGTTGTGTAACCAAAATGCAATGTTAAGTCAACGTCAAATTGACATCAAATATTGACGTCAACCCGATTTTCATTCTTCAACCTGACGTTACATAGACGTCCGGTGCCTGCTGGGATTAGTCAGTATTAGCCTATTAGTGACACCTGGGCTGCGTTCAGCCCCGACAAAATCCTGGGTTTGGATGATCAAGCGGGCTGCAGAACAGTGAAGCACACTAGCTTTTGTCCGTATTCGCTTGTTCTGTATGTAGCTGATTTGCGGATAAATCAGCTAACGCATATTTAAGGTAACGGAATTCGTTATTTAACGCAGTTCAATCGCTTTAGATTGTAGTTGGTGTCAGTTCACCCTCAGATAAGTTAGGCGGCTAAGCTAACACAAAGTTTTCGCGGTTGTTCAGTTTGACATCTGATCACGCATGTTAATCAACACAAATCGGTGAAGATAGAACGCATACTTTACATCTCTTTTAAGTGTGTATTCAGTGTAATGGCCGAGAGACCAGAGGACCTCAATCTTCCCAATGCTGTCATCACGCGCATTATAAAGGAGGCGGTAAGTGGCATCGCCGCTAGTTATTTGATCCATACCAGAGACGGACAGTAACTAAGTACATTTACTTGAGTATTGTACTTAAGTATAGGAAGTTAATATTGTGGTATATATTAGACACGATATTGTCTGATTTTGCTAAATTGTGTACGTCAAAATATTACCTATAAAGCCACAGAAGAACTGTTGTGCGTCTCCTAATAAAACACAAAAGATGTTTGACTGAAGCAGCACTGCAGACCATTCTGTGTGTGACATCAAAGAACAGCGAGAGCGATTAGACAGCATTTTTTTTTTAATCTTTATTTTTATTTATTTATTTTTTTTGTTTTGATGTCAAATGGGTCTTGCTGTTTTGCTAAAGCAGTGTTGCTGTTGTAAAGTTGTACAGCTACAGTTGTGTTGCTGGGTTTTAAAGCAGGTTTGATTTAGTTTCTTCCTTATCACTCTGTATTTACAGGACTTCACTGTCCACTCTGTTCAAATGTGGATGAATGGCTACACTTAGATGTGTGCACACACACTGTCAGAGCTGTGAGATCACTACCATCCTGCTTTTGTGGGGGTGGGTAGGGGTGTTAAATAATTATTTATGTTTTGTTTTTAACATTCAATATTCCAGAGATACTACAAGCTAGTCAGTGTATTCAGCAGGTGTAATGTATTCTAAGTTGCTTCAGAAGTATTGCAAGTATTATGTACGACAATAAAACAGTACATTGACATAAAAAAGGAAATTTACTTTTGGTACTTAAGTACTTTTAAAAGCAAGTACTTCTGTACTTTTACTTAAGTAAAAATCTGTCTTTACAACTTTTACTTGTAATGGAGTAATGTTTGACCAGCAGTATCTGTACTTTCACTCAGGTAATGGAGTTGAGTACTTTGTCCGCCTCTGATCCATATAAATGAAAGCGTTACATAAATTGTCTCTTTCAGTCTATTATATTGTTTATTATACAAGTCTACCTGTTTTCCTCGTGTTTAGTTGCCGGATGGAGTTAACGTGTCCAAGGAAGCAAGAAGAGCGATATCTCAAGCAGCCAGTGTTTTCGTTCTCTATGCAACATCTTGGTTAGTAGGACGTTCTGTTTTGTACAAGAAACTCTATTCTGGCAACCTACCCAAATGTAATCTGTTTTGTTGACACCAGTGCAAACAATTTTGCTATGAAAGCAAAAAGGAAGACACTCAACGCTGGAGATGTGATGTCAGCTATGGAGGAGATGGAGTTTGAGCGCTTCTTGCAACCCCTGCGGGAAGCACTTGAAGGTAAATGCTGTATGAAGCACAGTTCAGGTCGAAAGCTGTATGACTTCATAAAAGCATCTGATTTATTCATGTGTATAACTGTTTTGTGCTGACATTTTGCTTTTTTTTAACAGCTTACAAGAAAGGTCAGAAAGGCAAGAAGGAGGCATCTGAACAAAAACGTAAGGACAAGGAGAAGAACAGCACAGATGAGAACGACAAGAGTAGAGATGAAGAGGACGAGCAAATGGATGAGCAGGAGGGAGAGAATGAAGGAGAGGAAGAGGATGTGGAGAACTGAGAGGAAACAGGATTGTATAATTGTTCAATCCGTCCTGGTTTCTATCAACTATGGCAAATGGTAGTTTCCACATTAATAGTGGCACAAAGACAAGCCTATGGTACTGAATGTTTTACTTTATGAAATTGAGCAACTGTGGCAACATTCCTGCGGAGCTCCTTTGAATACAGTGAAGTATATTTCAAGAGAAACTGTACAGTCTCTTCAAATTCACTTTAATCAGTTATATACACGACACAGTGGCCATAGGATTTTAAGCTAATAAATGTACGGTTACCCGGGTCAAGAAATGGGAAAAATTTTATAATTTAGGATGAGACCTAAAGGTGAGCAGCCTGAAGTACTCAAACATTTTGTAAACTAAGTTCAGCAAAATTGTGAATAGTGAAATTTTATACTATGCCAGTTTTTTTCCTTTTAAGTGTCAGACTTTTGTTCTACGGCAACATACCTAAGCTTACATACTTTTGTACTGAGTCTTTGAACAACTTGAGAATAATTCTAGTAGATGTTACCCATTTTTTCAAATAAATAATTTTAATGGATTCCTGTCATCAAACTATATGCTTAGTGTCTCATTGCAAAAAAAGCCAATATCTTCAGTTGAATGCCCTTTAATTGTGTAGTGCCAAAATATGGTAGCCACTAAATAGTACAATATAGTAATATATACACTTCTATAACCAATGAAGTTCTGCTGGTCTCCAGTTCAGTGGTTCAACCTCTTTGATGCAAAGGTCCCCCACATTGTCTTAGATGTGTCCTCTAGTATTTTTTCTGTAATTATGACAATGCTGCTTGTTTACAATCTTCAACAGAAATTGGGAAGGTTTAAGTTAACTTATGATCCTATGAAACATTCTTTTTCAAAGAAGAAATACAAATTCAGTTTACATCTTGATTTGGGTTTTCAGCATTTTAATTAAGCCTCCCGTTTCTGAGAACCACTGAAAGAAATCAAAACACTTGGACTTGTCATTTTAACAGTTTTATTTGGTCTTGAATCCTTACTCCTGCAAGAAAAAGAAAAAATTATAAAAGACCAGCAAGTGAATATCCATCCATCCATCCATCCATCCAGGTCTCCAGAGCATAATGGCACTTAATACTTACAGCTGGGCATTCAATTTTGCCACTGTTGATGTCATCAATGACATCATGGGGAGGGCGACCATCAATGGTGCAGCCCACAGACTGAGCTGTGCCTAGAATCTCTTTAATGGTACCTGAGAAACAGGACAAGATCAGTTTGTACGGTCATCTAAATAATTACTCAATCATACATGGTTGTAATTCATGTTCCAGGCTTTTTGGCACAGGGTTAACCACAGAGTTGAGTATTCCTGCTTCCTAGAACTGGGTTTTTATTAGCCTCCTCTGGACAGTACACAGTCCCTTTTACAGACTAGCACAGTGGCGGGAGGCTGATCAATAAATATTCCTCCCAGATGCATAAACTCTTAAACACGTACCACTAAGTTCCCTGGCAATAGAGCGTGGCCTCATGACACGGGCAACGCTGACGATCTCATCGAAAGTAACACTTCCAGAGTGCTTAACTACAAAAGAAAAGGGAAACATGATACGAACATCAGGACATATAGAATATGCTAGTCACAAATTAATAGCATGTACATTCCCTTTCAGAAGTTTGGGGTCGATGAGATTTAAATATTTTAAGCATAAGTCTCATGCTAAACTCCTGTAACAAATTTTGCTGTAACTTTGAAAAATTGAATGCATCCTGGCTGAATTAACTTAACGAAACATTAAGGACCTTATGTTTTGACCAAACAATTTAGCAGTTATTTGCATAACTTTGTGCAAGGCAAGTCCATTTTTTGTTGTTAAATGGTGTGCCATTTGTTTTCAACTTCTGTAAAATACTAAATGGTTTTTACGGTCACTTCTGATTAATTGAATGCATCCTGGCTAAATTAAAAAAAATTACGGACCACAAACTTCTGAACAGCAGTGTGCATCATACAACATTTTGGCCAACAAGAAATGGAATAGAACTTGTTCCAGTCCTTTCGGCACAGAGTCAGCCATTAAGTTGGTCAGCCCTGTTTCCTAGAGCTGGGTCACTATTAGCCTTCCTTTGGCAGTACACAGTCACTTTTAAAGACAAGCACAGTGGCGGGAGGCTTACAGTCAACCACAAAAGGCCAGAACACACAAAAGACATGATTCCTCCAACACAGAGTATCGAGGTGAGGTAAAAAGCTGCTTACTGTTCTTGACCTTCTTCCGGTCACGAGGAGGTTCCTTCAGTGCCTTGATGATGAGGGCAGAGGCTGATGGCACCACCTCAATCTGGATCAACAACAAAACCTGTAAGCATCTAAAGGCTAGATGACCTTAAGAGCCAATAGAGGCGGAAACACTTTGAAGGCTTACCGCTGCTTGTCTGTTCTGGATGGTCAGCTTCACAGTGATTCGCAGGCCCTTCCAGTCACCAGTGGCCTTTGCGATGTCATCACCCACCTTTTTAGGGGACTGAAGAAAAGAATAGAAAATGAAAAATGAGCACAGCATGGAACAGAGTCAATGTGCTGTGATGCAAGCGGTTTGTTCCAGGCCTTTCGGCACAGAGTTAGCAATCAGGTTGGGACTGCCCTGCTTCCAAAAGCCGGGTCACTATAAGCCTCCACTTTAAGTCGCTTTTACGGACTAGGACAGTGTCAGGGGGCTTAATTATGAAAGAGTATGGGATCAAACAATACAGACTCAACCAAGATGGCTATACTTACAAGACCCAAAGGTCCGATTTTGGGGGCCAGCGAGGAAGTGGCTCCAACCTCTCCACCTGTGCATCTCATGTACACTGGAAAAAGAAACAAGTTAGTGCTTTTACTAGAATTACTACACTTTAACCACAGAACCTGTGTATGCTGCAAGACATTACGGTGTGGTGTCTTTCTAAAAGTTTGGAGGGGGACTAAATGAACAAACTTATTCAGCATTGAGCATCATTCAAAGATCTTAATGCAACATCCTTGGAGGGTCACCTTAAAGTTGCTTTGCAAATAACTCTAAAATGACAAATAGATGGTCATACCTGGCTGATGCGAAACAGGCAGGCCTGTGCAGCATTACATCAAATCTATTTTTATAGCATGTTCTAGTTGGGGTCGAGATTAAAACCCTATTATCGCACACATGCGAAGAGGCACCACCATACTAACAGACAAATATCCAATCAGACATCACACGGTGGGCCTATGATTTCCGCGATGCGAAAAACTCAAACGGAATCCTGTCATAAAACTGAGGTTACAGCGTACGGCGCAAAGTCACGAAAATTACCATTTGGATTAACAAATTAAAAGCAGGTCAGTACACTTATTAAAATGCGATATGTTCTAGTATCTGTAAATATTAGGCCGCAAAAAGACTTGAATATAAAGCCTGTATGTTCCGCGTGTCTCTGTGAATGAATGGCCCAGACGCGCCATCGTCAAATCAAACTTACAGGGCTAACTTCGTTTTAACGTAACAGGTCTTAATGATATTACTACAAAAATTAAAACATTTAAGGTATATTTACCAGAAAAAAATGCCAGAAACGATTTAGCAGAAAACCGTAAATGCACAGTATTACTGAAAAAAAGGATACTCAAAATCAGACGCTTTTAAACGACAAATGAAACCATTAAAATGCAACCCAGAAAAATGGAACAGAATTTAGTAAAAATAAAGCTGAATTTGAAAGAAAAAAACATTACAGGGTCTTTGTTAAACAAGAAATCTGTTAATTTGTGCAAGTTTCATGATTAATTAGACCAGCTTTTTGATTAATAAAATGTAACGGGGGGGGGGGGGGAATGACGTTTTTTCATCCCAAATGAAAAAACCTCATTTGGGAAAAAATTTAAAACTAACTTCACAAGAGGCCCTACAATCACACGGATGGCAAAAAGGGTTCCTTACTCGGTTCCCAGCCTAACCCCAAGCTATGCACTATTACCATAGTTTTTGTAGTGAGAAACTTCTAAAACGTTACAACTCTCCTAAAGTTGAACTGGTTTGAATCTCTAGTCTGGATGGGTAAAAACATGCTACTCTCCTAAAGTTGAACTGGTTTGAATCTCTAGTCTGGATGGGTAAAAACATGCTACTCTGACGTTGCTGGTCACTTTTGCTCACGTTGTGCTAAAACTTTAGTTTCCAACTACACACATACTGACATTACATGGCATGCAATTCCGTTTTCCTGCAAAACCCGTTCAGCCCAAAAGCGAGCAAACACATTACACAGAGAGTAGGGCGCTACAGCTCCGCGAGGTTACAGCAGCACGTGAAGGCGCACGCTCTTCCGGTGTGCTGTGAAACTACAGCAAGCCCGTGTTTCATACTCAAAACATCAAACCGAATCGTTCAAAGCGCCACATGCACGGAGAAGCTGCAGAAAGCATCCCTAAAGATACTGGACAGCGTTCAACATCCACGCCCCTAAGTTAAACTACAAATATTATTGCATGTACACATTCAGCTTAAAGTGGCTCAACTAACCTATACCGTTAATTTTTTTGTAGTTTTACCTTTCTACTCATTTATTAGTCCCAGCACGCAGACAAGGCCGCTCAGACCTAATCAGAAATCCATCAAACGGTTACCGTATTCCAGACATACCGATTTTAATCTCGGTGGGGTCGAATTTAGGAGGCATGGTGTATCAGATAAAGTCGAGCTCAGTTCGAGTTGAATTGGTGAGGATGTCGGATGAACCCGGATTCGGGACGACCGAGAAATGTTGCACCTTCACCACCACAGCGAAAATGAGAAAGGCCGATAAAGTATGGCGCCACCTATATAAAGGTCACGAAGTATCGCGAGAACTAAACAACCTTTCACACTGCGGCGAGCCGTCACGTCATTCACAACGTCAGATAAGTTGTTCCTGGTGTGCGTGCGCGCGCTGCCAGAGAGGGAGTATACTAGGTAACACGGATACATGGTTGATATTGAAACATTTCAAGGAGCCCATGTTTTGAAAAAATAATTTAGCTTGTTTAGCGTTTAATCGCATACATTCGTCTTTTCGCGTAAGGTATGTACATTTATTTATATAGCACGATATTTGGCTTCAAAACCGGGTTTCAGTATCCATGAAAGTCTAATGAAAAATAACGTGCATTTGTATAGTGCTATGAATATCGAGTCATTATAATTTGTAATATAACAAATGTTTGTTTGTGTGTTTCTTGTCGTACTTGACTTTGTTCACGCGGTCCTACTCTGTTTCTGTTTCTGTTTCTTTGGGATTGTCAACACCACAGTCAGTCAAGTCTCACACTAACATCCAGTGGCTTTTGTGGATGTTGTGGGGTTTTGACTAGACAAACAAAATCTCACTGGCTTCAGGATGTTTCTGTTCTCCAAAAAGAAGAAACCTAGTGAGGATTCCATAAAACGCCTGGAGTACCAGCTGTGCTTGGTGAGTTTCTAGTGTAAGTGGCTCTTTTTTTAGCAGCATGTCTACTGTCATATTGCACTGCATCAAATCTTAACACACATGCTTATGGTTTGTGCAGGCCAAAGAAGCAGGTGCTGATGATATTCTGGACATTTCTGCCTGTGAGCTTACAGAGGTGAATTACAGAAGTCCTAAAATCATTATTTACATATTGGTGAAATGCTCATTTAAGACAGAGGATGAATTATTGCTAGATATCTGAGATTCCTTCCATATCGCAACAGTTGTTACACAATGCTTGTCTGCAGGTTCCCTCCAGTACCTTCTCCATATGTAAAGTCCTCCAGAAGAAAGTGAGTCTATTTACTGCAGTGTTTTTTTCTTCTTCTGAACTTTTGGTGGTCAGACGGAATAGATCTTTCACAGCACTTTCCACTTTAACTGCAGGTCTTCATTCTTCATGGAAATGGCCTGAGGTCACTTGTTCCTAAAGGTTGCTGCATTGGTGCCTTAGCAACTTTAAAGGTGAGAGAATTTGATTGATGACGACAGTGCCAAGCAAATAACCATTTTACACTTCTGTCCAGTGACAACATCTCTGTGTGTCAATTCTTAAGGTGTTGGACCTGCATGAAAATAAGCTCACATCACTTCCTGATGACATTGGGCAGCTTTTGTCCTTACAGGTATATTTATTGTATATGAACAAAGCTGATGTGAATTGATGTTTCTTACGTGGCATTTGAAAACAGAATACTGTTATTGATGCTGATTCGTAAAAGACCTGTTGAAATAATTTGGCATATATCACTATGTAGCGCTAGGTAGGTTATATGTCAACAGTTTGGGGTCACAAAAAAAAAATTTCAGCAAGGGTGCATTCATTTGATCAAAAGTGATAGTAAAGACCTCTAGTAAAAAGCAATACAACTTTCTATTCCTCAAAGAATACTGAAAAAATGTATCATGGTTTTACAGGAATATTAAGCAGCGCAACTGTTTTGAACATTGACAATAATAAGACATGTTCCTTGAGCACCAAATCAGCATAGAATGATTAGAGAAGGATCATGTGATACTGAAAACTGAGTCGTTGAAAAATGTTTAAAAAACCAACTTTGTCATCACAGTAATAAATTACTTTTTAAAAATATATTATGATAGAAAGCAGTTGTTTTATAATATTTCACAATATTACTGTTTTACTGTAGTGTTTTATTAAATACAGCCTTGGTGAGTATACGAAACTTCCATCAAAAACAATAAAAAAATAAATCCTCTAGAGCAAGGAACAATTTTCTTTAAATCATTTTTAATTGATAATTAGTATCCTATTTATTGCTTACATACAACCTTGATTTCTTCTCTAAGGTGCTGAATGTAGAGAAGAATCGCATAAAACAGCTGCCGGACTCTATAGGGGATCTACGGCATCTACAGACACTTAATGTGAAAGGTTTGTTTTGTGCTTTTTAAAAATGTTTTTGCGCTCAAAAAAGTATTCATTAATATCCATTTTTTAGCATCTTCATTAGAGCACTGCAGTAGATTCCAGGTAGTTATTAACCTGTTTCAGAGAGATTTTGTTCTGTTAAAGAGTTTATTTTAGGCCTTTTAGGCACTATTTTACATCAAATTAAATGGTGAAAAAGCCTAAACCATTTAAATTAACAAAATGTTTTGATGGGTATAGAGAACAGCCTTACTGTCATTCCTGTGTCTGTGGGACGCATGAGCAGCCTGCGTACACTGGACATAAGTGAGAACAGCATTAGAGAATTACCTAAAGAACTGGCCAGTGTTCGCACTTTGGAAGTGAGTATTTTAAATCTTATGCCTGTTTAAGATAAAGATGTTGGAGCATATTTATACAAGCTCAAATGGCAATGTGACCCCTGCAAAGACATTGTCATGTCTGTATGTGTGTATGTGGTGTGGCAGAGCCTGATCCTAGACGCACAGGTTATGAGCTATCCACCTGCGTCAGTGTGCACCACCGGCACAGAGGAAGTTCAGTGCTACCTCTGCTCAGGTACAGATCTGCTTTCAAAGACACTGAGCAATGTTTTACACAATATTCTGTAATTGCAGACTGATAAATACAGATTTTGTACAATACAGCTTATGCACAAGATCTGGTTAAATATTATTGTAACCATGTGTGACGGTAGAAGGCCATTCTGTGAAGCTGGTTTGTTTAGTCATTTCATAATTCATTTTAATGGGATTTAGAGATGGGTCTGGAGTATTGCCCTCCATCTCAGTATCTCCTGACTGTGCTGGAGCATGATGGAGGGAAGCAGGAGGTGGACTGTGTTGATGGTGAGGAGAAAGCCTGGCAGGTCAGTCATCACTATTTATCAACCATTTCAAACAGTGCCCAAAAATATTGTGTAGCCATTTGATCTGTGAATGTAACATTTTCTATCCGACACTGCAGAGCAAATTCATGGACTATGAGAAAAGAAAGGTATGTTTAATTTGGTTTCTTTTTGTTATTGTTGGATCATCCAGTGTAGTATTTATCTCATTCTCTCTGTTTCTCCACTAGGAGCAGAAACAGCTGGAAAAGTTGATCTTTGAGAAAGATTTTGAAGAGAAACAGAGAGAGCACACTCAGCTCTTCCTCCTCAACAACTCCCGCAAAGAGGATGTCTTGCTGTCTGTCAAACTGGTAAACATTTTGATTGTAGAATTACAAAAACAATCTGTTGTACAATATGTTTTTTTTCGCCCCCGAAAGAAGTCAGTCTGGTCAATGCTGCATTTATTTGATTATAATATATTTAAATATAGTAAAACAATTATATTGTAAAATATTAACATTTTAAATAACTTTTTTTTTTTGTATTTTAATAGAAAGTCTTCAGTGTTCCATGATCCTTCAGAAATAATTCTAAATTGCTGATTTGGTGCTCAAGAATAATTGCTTATTATTATCACTGTTGAAAACAGTTGTGCTGTTATAATATTTATAATAATAATAATAATAATATAATATTTTTGTGGAAACTGTGAGACTATTTTCCGGATTCTTTGATGAAAATAAAAATTTTTTTTAATTTGAAATAGAAACCTTTTGTAACATTATAAATGTCTTTACTGCCACTTTTGATCATTGTAATGTGTCCTTGCTGAAGTAAAGTATTAGTTTAAAAAAGTATTTTGAACAGTAGCGTAAATTAAGCACTGTAGGCTGTACAGTAGGTTGTACAGTTACTATGCTTATCTAGCTAATAAAAGCACATTTTCATTTACCATGGCCATTTATTATCAGAAAGACATGTCTCTGTGCTTTTCTGTCTCTCAGGAGCAGCAACGGTTGGAGTTAGGTGTGTCTCAGCAGCAGAAGGCCCAGGAAACAGAGAGGCTGAAAATACTGGATAAAGTACATCTGGCAGAGAGCAATATCATGAGTCGCATCTCTGACCTCCTGCTTGATAACAAACGGTGAGGGTACGGTGTGAACCACTTTTGAAATACCTTGCTTTTTCAGTAGCTATCATTATCACTTTAATTATGCTAAGCCCATTAGTATTGTGTAGTTGAAGTGTCGTTATTTATTGTGCATCTGTGCTCATTTGGTTATAGCCAGGCAAAGTGTGCCGAGTTTCTGCAAGCTCTGGAGGAAGACCGGTGAGTGGAAATTACGCATGGGTCGAACTCTCTAATGGAATATGGGCTCCTGCCATCAATGCAGCTCTTGCTAAGTGAATTTCTTTCTGTCTAATGGCGCCACTTAAGAAATCCTTAGCCCAGATTTAGTGCAAGCAAGTACTGAGCTGTTTGGACAGTGCTACTGCTGTGGTGCTGCTACAGCACACAGAGCTTTTGGCCCATTAAAGTTCAGTGTTTACTGTTACATTCATGTATTTTTGGAGATGTCAGAAAGACCTGGAGTGCTGCTTTAAGTTGTGGTTTCACAAACACTGCAGCGGGGTGTTAGTTGTTTGTAAGGTATACATTACCGTTCAGAAGTTTGGGGTTGTTAAGATTTTTTAAATATTTTTGAAAGAAGTCTCATACGTTCACCAAAACCACATTATTTGATCAAAAATACAGAAGTATTATGAAATTATTTTAAATAGATTTTTTGTAACATAATAAATGTTTTTGCTGTCACTTTTGAACTATGTAATGCATCCTAGCTGAAAAAGTAATGATATAATAATAATAAAATAAAATAAAAAGTAATAGTAATAATCATTTGATAAAAAAAAAAATATTACTGACCCAAAACATTTGAACTGTAGTGTATATAGATGTTACAAACAAAATGGTGAAATCTGGACTTACCTTGATGCTTTTTCTGTTTGAGTAGAGAAACAGTTATGAATGTGTTTGTTTTTTTTTTGTTTTTTTTAGTATACGAATGGAACACCTTACTGCCATCACACAAGACGAAGCCAACTCTCTTAGGAAGAAGGAAGTGGCAAGTGAGTTTTAGAAATTACATTTATCATTAAAATTATAATTTTATACAAGCTGATCAAGACAAGTTGATGAGTTTGGAACTCATGCCCCCCCTTTTTATCAGTAAAAACGAAAGTCTCAAAAGCCCAAATGAATCATATTTAAAAGAAACTCGGCTATTTGCAGTGGTACTGAAGAAGACTACATGTTTGCAGGTGCCATGCAGAGGATGCTGTCAGAGAGCTACTCTTTAAGGTTACTACAGGAGGCCAGGGAAGCCAAGACACAGATTCTGGTGTCTGAGACCTGCAGGAGGTGCTAAAAAATTTATGAGTATTCATTTTCATTCAGCAATGAGTAAACAGTCCTATTTTTTCTTGTGTACTAATTTCTCTTTTTTCCCCTTCATTTAGTTTGGACTATATGGATAAGAAGTTTGACCAAGTGTTGTCCCTGCAGCAGCTAGACAAAAGCAAAGCCATTAGTCAGATCCTTCAAGAGGTAACTATTTAAATCACTAACATGCAATGTACATAAATTAAAAACTAGTATTAAAAACGAGTTTGCACTCCATCTGTCCATTCACTCCACAGGCAAAATATATTAATGAACTATAGCATATACAGCTGGTGCATTGTTGGTGTAGTACGTCTAGAATGATTAACCCTAATTGGCTCTTTGTCTGCAGGAGGAAATGCAGAAGGCCGCCTTTGAAACCCTCCAACTCCAGAAGGACAGTGTGCATGCTTATATCCGTAATCAGGTATGCTTATTAAAGTTTCCTTTAGGATAGAAGAGGCAATAAGACCCCACAGATACAGTGATTTATATCATACTACTGGTTGATTGAAGGAGTTTCAACTTTATCAGCACTGTCATTTATTAACATATACACTACCATTCAGAAGTTTGGAGTTAATGGTTTTTTAAGAAATCTCTTATGCTCACTAAGGCTGCATTTATTTGATTAAAATGCTGTAAAATAGTAATACAGTTTAAAATAACTGTTTGCTGTTTTAATGTATTTAAAAATGTCATTATTTCTGTGTTACAAAGAATTTTCCGCAGCCATTACTCCAGGCTTCTGTGTCACATGGTTCATAAGAAATCATTCTAATATGCTGATTTGGTGCTCAAGAAACATTTCCTATTATCAATGTTGAAAATTGTGATGCTTCTTATTTTTGTTGTAAAGAAAAACATTTATTTGAAATAAAACATATTTGTAATGTTCTAAATTTAAATGTTACGGTGAATTTTGATACATTTGAAGTGTCCTTGCTGAAAAAATGTATTCATTTCTTAGAAAAATAGTTATTGGCCTCAAACTTGGTAGTATAATCATTAACAAAGTTATTCAGTGGGTATTTTGTAGTCGGTTAGAGTAAGCAATGTTTCAGATGGTCTTGTGTAGTCATTCTAGTCATTAAAAGCTTTTTTTTGGGTTTCAGTCAGCCCATGCTTCTCACATCCCACCTTTCATTGGATGCAGAACCCAAAAGGTGGCTGTTTTATCATGTCTCCATGGGGCCATTCACACCCCTACTGTATGCTTGTATCCATAGATTAAACTCATAGAGGCAGAGTTAATGCAGCTGACAAAGCTGGAGGTTAAGAGGAGGAATTTGGACACTGAGAACCTGCAGGTACGTAGCAGCAGTAGATGATGTGGGTGGTTTCCTGTCAGTGCTTCATCATGCTGTGGAGTGTAGAGCAGAGTAATGAGTCTGTCATCGCACATCACTTCTCTTGCTTGTTTTTACATCTCTCTTTCTCTCTCAGATTACTTGGTCATTTCATCCCATTTCTGTTTTATATATCATGCTCCCACCACCTCTATGAGTTATCATAGCATTCTGGGAGTATGAATCCTTTGTGTGTGTGTGTGTGTGTGTGTGTGTGTGTGTGTGAGATAGGAGGTGCTGGCTGACCAGAGGACTGTTCTTACTGACCTGCTGCAGCAGTTACTCAAACAAAAGGACCAAAGGGAGGAGGAGCTCAGGATGGTTTTGGTGAGTGATTCTGTACCAACTTCCTTGATTTCTCAAAAGAGTCAGAGGAAATTGGATCAGTTCACTGAAACATTTCACATGCTTCAGTCATTGTTGGAAAAATCACATTTAGGTCATGTAGATATTGTCTGAAATTATCGTTGTAAATTTGGTGTAAATGTGAATGGAAAAATATCATCATAATGCACATATTAAAGGGGTCATATGATGCTATTTTCAAAGCTCATTATGTTGTGTATTGGGTGTAAGAGAATATGTTAGCATGCTTTAATGTTCAAAAAATGCATTCATTTTCACGTACTGTTCATTATTGCAGATCCTCTATGCACAATCTTTCTAAAACGCATTGATTTCTACAAAGCCTCTCCTTCGAAAAGCGCAGTGTGCTCTGATTTGCTACTTGAGCGTCCAGTGTGAAGCAGAACACGTAGTGAATCATGTTTGTCATCTTTTCGCCACCAGTTATAAGCAGAGAACAGAGGATACTACGTTTGTAAACATAAATCCATCTCTGTCTGCAATTGTGGTCGTAGGAAGGACAAATAATATGTGTTACTCTACACTTTACCAAACTCTGCATTTAAACAGTCAATAGCAAATTATAAAACTCACTTATGGACTCTGATTCAGAAGCTCCAGATTGTCCTAGCAAAGTTGGAATTGCCCCATTTTTTTAGAAAGAGCCTTTCTGCACAGCCGGCCTTGTACTCTCCTAGGTTCAGGAAACTTTGCTGCACACACTCGAATATTTTGGCTTGTACTCTTCTGGAACAGTGTTGTGAATAAATGTTAACCACTGACTCCTAAATGCGTCCACTTTCAAAAGGCCAAAAAAAGTGTTTTTGCTGTCGCATAGAAACACAAAGCATCTCCACAACATGGTGGCAACAACACTACTGCGATTCCTCAAACTACGCCTTCATTCGTTGCGTATCCATTTGAGTGGCATTATGCAAATATTTCCACATAGTGACGTAGATATGTGAGGGAGAATTCAATCGAGGCGTTTTCGGGCGGTCTGGATCAGCCTTCTCTTTTAGATAGAAAAATTCCTTTTGTGGGAGACTTTAAGCTTTGTAACTTTGCAGATTTTATACATGCACAAACATCTACAAAACACACTAAAGAAAAATTAAAACATGAAAAGGCATCATATGACCCCTTTAATATCAAAAGAATACATGTTATTTAGCCTTTAAAATTACTTTTTATTTAATAGTTAAACACATTTATTTATATAGTTCCGTTCTCATTTTATTTTATTGCCATGCATTGTGTTTTGCTGCTTAATTTCTGTAATTCGTTAGACATATTATTATCTGAAAAATACACATTAAATCTAACAGCCTTTAAAAAACAGACCAGTTTGAAAAACCCTGCATTATACCTCACTGATGTGGAAAAAATTACTTCAAATTCTGGCATGGTAGTCTCCACCAAGCAAACAAGCAAGCAACATAGTATTGAATTTGCATAGGACTTTGATAAAAACTACAGATGCTTATGTATGATTCTTGTAATTTGTAAGCTATGGTGCTGAGGATTTTTTGTTTTTTTGCTCTTCAGGTGGAGATGGACCAGAAAAGTGAATCCAATCAGCAGAACTACTGGATGATCCAATATCAGAGGCTCCTGGATGCCAAACCTCTGTCTCTGCGGATGCAGGTTAGAGCAGCTCTCCTACAGGTCTAAAGATCCTGGGTTTAAATCACAAAATCAGACACTCTGCTGACCTCTCCTTTCTCCACAGGAGGCAGCTGTGGATGGGGATCTGGGGAATCTGCTGTGTAAACTCTCTGCTCAGCACTACCTGCCAGTCATAGCTCACCACAGAATCACTGCTGAGGCCTTGCGACACATGACCACCAAAGACCTTAGGAAGGTCTGTCACCATTCCTTCTGTGTTTTACCACACAGAAGTTTTATAGTAGTATTTAAGTGTGTCTCTAAGAATTTGTCATCACAGGTTTATGTCCATTAAAATCATTTCTGTTTTATTACAGTTGGGGATTAATGAGGTTGGCGTACAGAAAGCTCTTCTCCACTGGGCCAGAGAACGCACTCTGTCTGACCGTAAGAGCATATATTTTCAATCAAGGACATAATTAGTAGACATTTGTGAATTCTGCTCAGTGTTGTTTTAAGTTGTGATTGAGGGTATCAAAACATGTTTGTCCCTTCAGCATTTCCTAAAACTGCAAAAGAGAAGCAGGAAGCTGGTCCATCCACTCCAAGTGCCCCACTTCAACAGCAGCTCACTCCTCCACTGACCCCCAACACCCCCCTCACCCCCACTGCCCCAAGTCCTGATAGATTTAGCAGTTCCGAGTGTGTGGTGTGCATGGAACATGAGGTAAGGCAAAAGATTATTACAATTCTCAATTCAATTTGAAAATATTTTTAAAAGAACGTTTGTTTGAAATAGAAATTCTTTGTAACAATGTAAGAGTTTTGCTTTCAGCAGCTTTGAAAGAAACCATAATTTCCTCTCCTGTTCTGTGTCACAGTCACAGGTGATCTTCCTGCCGTGTGGGCATGTATGCTGTTGTCAGACTTGCAGCAATGCCCTGCAGTCCTGCCCTCTGTGCCGTGGCTCTATATCTCAGCGCGTCCGTCTTTACCACGGCTGAAGATGGAGAGCGTCCTTCCATGGTCAGCATCATACGTCATGTGTCGTTGTTGTTCCTTCCTCCCATTTGCTGCATGAAATCATAGTATGTGAACCTTCAAGCACTTTAGAACATACTGGATTTTTTCTTCCACTCCCACTTCAACTACTAGCCAATCAAAAAGGAACTTATACAGCAAGATCCAAGCTTCCAATGGGAAGTTTTATTGTTCATCATAATCTAGTCACTTTCCAAGAAATTAAAAGCAAGAAAGTATTTATAACTCAAATCTAATAGGATGACTGTTGTGAGCTTTAGTATCGCCCTTGATGTACCTACTCTAAGCACTTGTGACCCACTACATTTTAAATATCTGCATGTTCTCTATAGTAAAGCTAAATCTTCATTCACTCACCACAGTCCGCCTTATGCCCTGCCCTCCATGTTATTCTAGCGTCATCGTAGTACAGTAAGATCAAATTTATCACCATTCAGGGATGTTCACACCAAGGGTGATAACTGTAATTATAAAGTTTTAATCATCATTCTAATTTTATGAGAATTGGGTTATCACTCCACAGCTATAATGATAACATCACAGAGGAACTATATAATTAGAATCATTATCACAACAATTTTTTCCAACTGATGAATGCCAATCAGAATCTGCCTGACTTGAGCATTTAAAGTGGAAGCTGACAACGTAGCGCACACTTATAATAAACAGAACGTTGCTGTCCGTTGGTGTGATTGCTAATACAGTTATGATTATAGTTATTCTTATCCTTACTGTTCTCTGTGTGAATGGGCCTTTACCCTGCAGTTCCAGTAGAGAGTATTTTAATACTTCAACCAATTGTTAAAGTCATTTTTTATTTAAATTTTTAGTGTAAGATTTAAATTTTCAGTTTAAATGTGACTCTTTGAATAAATTTTAATTTACAGAACAGAGCCTTATAAAGACTTCAACATTGAAATATTTTGAACTGACTTTGCAACACAGCATAATCGGAAATTATAGGTTGAAGCTGAAACCTTTCTGAAGGCACTGTACTTGCTGTATAATGCTCCAAACACTCATCCTAACAAATGCATGGTCAGTCCTTTTACACTGTCGACTGTCCAGTTTCAGCAACTTCAAATATTGCACACACGCGATAGTGTTTCCTAAATCTGTGTACTTCTGTGAACCTCTCTTCGTCCAAGTGCTCTTATATGCAAGTCTGCTTCTCACTGAACATGCACAGAATGAAAAAAGAACTTAATCTGTCTGTAAATAAAACAATATTCATTTAATTTCTTATTTCAAGAAAGGAGCTTTAAGTGTTTATCAGCATGATAAATCACATCACAAACTTTTAATCCGAGTGCTTTGTGTGATAGTTATGCTTTATGGATCAGACTGGACAAATAATATTTTATTTGCTGTGGATCTGTAATTTAAGAAAGAAAAAAAATGATGAAAGCATCACAATGCTTAGTAGAATGTGTAAAAGGAGTTACTGTAGTATAAACTACCTTCTGATGGCAGGTTATTATTAACTTATATACACACCGTAGTCCTGCTCTTATTTTATGTCATAAGAACTGATAAAGAACTGGTGTTCCTGTGGCTCAGTGGTAGAGCAGTGCAAAATGTCATGGGTTCGATTCCCAGGGAACACACATACTGGTAAAAATGTATAGCCTGAATGCACTGTAAGTTGCTTTGGATAAAGCGTCTGCTAAATGCATAAATTATAAAGTTTCTGGTCATTTTATACAACACAAATTACACTTTATCTGTGATGACAAAGTGAGATTGAATCTATGTTACATTAATTTACAATATATGTGCTGCCATTTCATGGTTTCATTTGTTGTCTATATATTCAAAATAAAATTTAAATTTTTTTTAGGTTTTATAATTGTACCCAGCCAACCACATCCATTAAAGTGCTGCCTATTCATTTTTAAGTGTTGTCACACCTGTCAGGCCTCTGCTAAATAAACCTGCTAGACAATATGCTCTAGTGTCCTTTTATAATTAAAAGGTGTATTTTTGCAACAGCATGACTGTCTAGATACATTTATTTATATATAAAATATCATAATTGTTAGTTAACAATTGTTAGATTTTCCATTTACTTATTACTCCTTGCCTAGTGTCATTTTTATTTACATGTTCAATAAATCAATATTAGTCCACAATTCCAGATATGTCTGAAATGTCAAGCCCAGAAAGTTGATTAGATTAGTCTTGATTTTGCAATATTTTATTAGGGATGGCACAATATCATTTTTTCAGAAACGATCCCGATCCGATACCAAAAGTTCTGAGTATCGGACTATACCGATCTGATACCAGCATTTTTTTTTTTCTATACCTCAGTGTGTGTTGACCTGATCATCACTCTTTTGTGTATTACACACAATCTACTAAATATAGACAACTTAATTATAAAGAAAAATAACAAATAAAAAAAATATAATCTATGAGAAAAATTACTTTTTAAAAAATTAAAAAATTACTTACATTATAAACTAGGTTAGTGGATAATTCAGCAGCAAAAGTTACTCTACAAAAATGATGAGTTCACAATAATTTAATAAAATCTAAACATTTTGAGAAAAAAACATTATTTAGTGGGGGGAAAAATAAAAGTAAATAGGTGTAATCTGGTAAAATGTTACACATTGCTCTTTGTATTGTAATATACATTTAATGAAAAACAAGTAAATATAAATATATGCAATAAAATAAATACATTTCTTTTAAATTTATAGCACAGTAATATGGCAGCAACATATGATAGATAAGACAGAACAAGAAAGGCTATTAACAATCTTTCATTGCGCAAAAGTATTATAACATGAAAGGCACCAATACAGAGCGGCACGAAGCGCTTACACTCATCCCGTGCGCAGAATGATGCACTTGAAGCAACACGGAGTCACAGCACACAGCGCTCCGCATAGAAAAGTTCAAAGATACTGATGCATAGTGTATTAAAGTGGTCATATGATGCAATTTCAATTTTTCCTTTCTTGTTTGAAGCTTTTGGTGCATAAAGAAGATCTGTAAAGTTGTAAAGACTAAAGTCTCAAATCCAAAGAGATATTCTTTATAAAAGTTAAGAGCCAACCACACCTACCTAAAACGCATCGTTCTAACACGCCCCCACATGTCTACGTCACGATGTGGGAAGATTTGCATAACGCCGCCCAAATGTTCATGCAAAGAAAGAAGGCGTAACTTTTATTCTCGCTGTAGTATTGTTGCCGCCGCCGCCATGTCGTGAAGGCGCTGTGTGTTTCGTTGTGAAAGCGAAACTACTTTGTTTGGCCTTCCAAAAGAGGACGATATCCGCTTCGTCATGCCTAGAGCTGATCTGTGCTGGTCGCTGAGGAAATACATCAACTTCGCGCTGTGGATCGCCGGATCGGCTTTCACCGTGGACGAAGCGGAGTCCAGCCCTTGGTCATCACATGTGGTTGCAAGCCCACCGGCCGCTCCTTCGCTATAAACTCCTCCGTTCTCAAGCCCGCCGGCCTCCGCTCACTCAAGGCTGCCGGCCTCCGCTCCCTCTAGCCCACCGTGTGTTTTGTTGTGAAAGCAAAACTTAATTTGTTTGGTCTTCCAAAAGAGGACATGACTAGAAATCAGTGGTTAAGTTGTAAATGTTCTTTTTAGCAACATCATATGACCCCTTTAAATCTGTGCGTTAGTTTATTGAGCCTTTTCTTTTAACAGTTTTAAATTTCAGTTACTGTGCACGTGAAGAACAATTCATAGTGCTCTGTATGCCAGTGTTGTGATCTCTAACAGACACCCGGTAGAAAGTAACATGATTTAGAATTAGCTATAAACTCCAGCAAGATAAAGTCATTTTATGCAAAACCACTGATGTTTATCTACAGATCAAGTATAATAATAGGAACATTGTATCATTCTGGAGAGAGTTTCGTCGTCTTGACTGTCGTAACTGAACGCGGCGCGCAGCTTGAATGCTGAATGGAGGATGACTGACAGCCGCAGCGGAGAGAAGGGTTTACGTGAACTTGAATTTAAAGGGGTCATATGATGAGATTTAAATTTTTCCTTTCTCTTTGGAGTGTTACAATCTCTTGGTGCATAAAGAAGATCTGTAAAGTTGCAAACACTAAAGTCTCAAATCCAAAGAAATATTCTTTATAAAAGAGTCAACCACGCCTACCTAAAACGCATCGTTCTAACACGCCCCCACATACAGTACCTACGTCCCGATGTGGGAAGATTTGCATAACGCCGCCCAAATGTTCACGCAAAGAAAGGCGGCGTAACTTTTATTCTCGCTGTAGTATTGTTGCCGCTGCCGCCATGTCGTGAAGGCGCTGGTGTTTTGTTGTGAAAGCGAAACTACTTTGTTTGGTCTTCCAAAAGAGGACACGACTAGAAATCAGTGGTTAAGTTGTATTTACAACACTGTTCCAGAACAGTTTAACCCAAATATTCAGATGTGTGCAGCGCATTTTATGGAG